GAAGATGGGACATAGCAGAGGGTGGGGGATGGGGAATCAAGGATGGCAAAACAAAAGGCAAGGTATGCAGGACATAAGAATTGGAAAATTATTTGCTGAGAACGTGTATGTTGATGTGCTTGATTGAGCCAATGCACAGTGTATTTTGGATGGAAAATTCATTTGTGTGTTGTGATGGTGTATAGTGAATTAATGTAGAAAATGAATAAATTTAAAAAAAAAAACTTTTTTGCACCAGAAAAAAAAAAAAAGAGAGATAGCTGAAATATAGGCTTCAATAAGAGAAAGGAAAAACACATTCTATGTAAGTCTACTAACTAATGCACAACCTCTAACAAGGGAGTAAAACATAGAGTTAGTTAAAACATTGAGACAGATAAAGTTAAGGTAGAGAGAATAAGAAAATACAACAGGTACAATAAAGAACATACAAAGAACAGGTGAATCCAATCCCAAATATATCTACTTTTATAGTAATAATAAAAGACTAATTTCTCTTAATAAAGTCAAACTTTTTAAATATTTAGTTGGATATTTTTTCAAGATATACACATAAAATACCAAAATAAAAAATAAAGATGTATTAGATGTAAATTAAACCAATTAAAGCAACTATCATGTGGCATATATATATCAGAAAATAGAATTTAACATTAAAGCACTTTGTTGTTATAACAATTAGTATTTTTTAGGAGAGGTTTTCGCTATAGGGCGCGTGCACTTGCCAGAGAGACAGAGAGACAGAAAGCGAGAAATCACCCCCCGGGGAGGATGGCTAGACCACAATCCCTTCTCCTCCATTCTCCTCTCGGGATCTTGAGCACGCACGCACACGCACCTGGCGTGAGTTTAAGCCACCAGGTCCAGGACTCGAACCACGGTTGACTACATGGGAGTCCAGTGATATAGCCATTATGCTAACTCCTGGTCCTGGTATTATTTTTATTTTATAATTTATAATGATAAAATATTAATTGATGGAAAACAAACACAATTTGATTTATTTTTAAATATTACATATACAGTTATATGTGCATACATGAACATACAAATATATACACATATGTACACACATACTTTGATTTGGGATTTACAATGTGCTGAATATTTCTAAAGGTCTCATGTGAGTTAAAACTACATGTTTCTTTATTTCTGTAACATAAGGTTATGCATGTCCAACAGGTCAGATTAATTTTCTTCCAAATATTTGAATCCCTAACATTTTGTGTGAGCTTTATGATAAGTATAGAGAGAATATTAGTAAAATATTTCCTCCTCAAATTGAGGAAATATACCATTCCTCTGAAAAATTACAGACAAAAAGTTCTGTATAAACAAAATGGAGTCACACTCACCTTCCAGCTACTCCCGCACTATCTTAAGACTAATGGACGCCCCACCATAACCTTATCCCCTCACCTGAGAGACATGGAACGTGTTCCTGGCCAACACGCCCCATTGGCATCTCCACAGAAGATACATCTGCCTTCTACAGGTCCCACGTCCATGCTGTTTATTTCATGAATGTGTCTTCTTAAATAGGCAACACTCACTTGCTGTCTTTGAAAAACCGGTGGAAACATACGGATGCACGCCCTGTGTGTCACACCAGTTCAGTCAGGCCTTACTGGCATGAACGTGGTTGGACACCGATCTCCCTGTAGAACCTATTTCCAATGACGGCTGTCTCTGGAAATTTAACATATGAACATCGTAGTTGGCTCTAAAGGCCTCTCCTCCCTGAATCCGAATTTGTGGTCCAGCTGAGCTCCATGCTGGTCAGTACTGTGAGGGAGAACGTCTCTTCCCTCGGTTCCTTGAATGGCCATGTCACATTGTGCTTGTTTGCTGAACATTTTGCTACAATCACATAACTAATGTCTGGAAAATTAATTATATCAGAGGAGAAGTTACCCTCTCATTGATTTTTAATTTTTTTAAATTTTTTAGAGGTCTTTGCTATAGGGTGTGTGTACTCACCAGAAAGACCAAGAGAGAGAAAGAGATAGAAAGCGAGAAATCACCCCCCTGGGGGGATGGCCATGCCGCAATCCCTTCTCCTCCATTCTCCTCTCGGGATCTTGGGCACGCACACACATGTGCCTGGCGTGAGTTTAAGCCACCGGGTCCAGGACTCGAACCACAGTCAACTACATGGGAGTTCAGCGACATAGCCATTATGCTAACTGCTGGTCTTGCCAATGATTTTTTTTATGATCTGCAGCTGTTTCAGGAGCTAGTTTTTTTTTTTTTTTTTTTTTTTTTTTTGTAGAGGGTCACGTGCACTCACTGGAGAGAGGGACAGAGACAGTGAGAGGAAAAGAAATCACCCCCAGGGGGAAATGGCTGCAATCCCTTCTCCTTGATTCTCCTCCCAGGATCTTAGGTATGCACGCACATGTGCCCAGTGGGTTTCAAGCCACCAGGTCTGGGACTCAAACCGTGACTGGCCATGTGGGAGTCCAGCGATGTAACTGCAAAGACATCTCTTGGCCCCAGGACCTAATGCTTTATTTAAAACTGCATATTGGGTCTTTGGTAAAGTCATTACATACTTTTCTCTGCAAAAATGTGTCATGACTTTTCCAATCACCCAATAGATGCTGAACTCTTCAACTCTAAACATTAATAAAATTTCAATGAGCAAGTGTTACTATGCATACTGCAAAAATATACTTTAAAGTTGCCATTGAATTTACTGTTTAATATGAAGCAAATCTCAAATATCTTGTTTACCACTCTGATACAGTGAGCACTTGAGAAACGTGCTTATACTCTGAGGGGAATTCGCGAATAAGCAGCTAACCGTTGTGAATATACACACAGGCTACAGATTTGTGATGAGTCTAGGGTTCTTTGTAGTCCTTATCCAAGAAAGGCAGCGTCTGGGTACTCTGGAGTCATAGTACAAGATGATGTAGGGATCGAGAGCTGGGAAAAACCCAGAGATGATTATGGAGGCTTTCAGCAACCACAGATTGGAAGAATCAATAAACGTCAAAAGCATGTGAAAGGTAGAGGAGAGAGCATACAAAGTTACAAAGGTGCTCACCAGGACAAAGATGCTCTGTGTAGCTGTGTCCTCGGGGGACGCTCTGGCAGAGAGGTTGCGAGTATGTAAATATTGGACCCGCTTCTTGTGTCTGTGCAAGATGTAAACCATGAAGATGTTGGCCCAGGTCATGAGCACCAAACAGAGACCGTCACGAAAAAATACAGATGCTATGTACATTGACCGTCTGGTTTGCTCGATATGTGCAACGTAACAGTAGCCCAGATCACTTTTTCCAGTGATATTTCTGTTATCTGATCTGGCCGTCACATACACAGGGACCACGCTGTTGAACAACAAGCTGAGGGCCCAGCAGAGCACACTGCAGGCGCACAGGAACTTGGGTGCTTTTACTTTAAGTTTTGCCCACTTGGAGTTCACTGGGCTGATGGTGATCAACTGGAAGACACTCAAGAGGCAGATGGTGCCCATGGACACATCCCTGCCCACTCTGTAAAGATAGAAAACAAGTTTGCACCCAGCATCACTGAGGAAATCTCTTAGCCCCAAAGCTGCTAACATCTCGGAGACACCCTTAGAGAGGATGACTGAGCAGTGGGCTAGAGTCAAGTGCTTGAGAAGCAAATCCGTGGACCTAAACCTGCATCCCGCACAGTGGAGGCAGAGGTAATGGTAAAGAAGAGAGAAATTCCCCAGAATTCCAAATACAATCTGTGACAAAAAGATCATTCCTATTGCAAAATCTCTGGTGGCCATCCTGCCAGCTCTCAGTGAGGGACAACTGTCTTCTGAGTCAGGATGCCTGCATGGAAATAAGAGGTGAGAGCTACACGTGTCATGTCCACTGAAATCCAGTGCTCTCTACTGACGTTAGTCTTCATTAGAAATACTTACTTAGGGGAACAGCAGGTGGCATGGTGGTTAAGGCACTGGACTCTCACATGGCTGGCTGCAGTTTGAGTCCTGGACCCAGTGACTTGAAAATCACACTGGACGCATGCGTGTGTGGTCAAAATCCTGAGAGGAGAATGGAGGAGAAAGAACTGCGTTATGGCCATCGCCCTTTGGGGAGTGATTTCTCACTTTCCTTCTCACAGTTTCTCTCTGTTTCTGTCCGGCAAATACACATACCTTATGGCAAAACCCTTAAGTAAAATGATTTAAGATATTTTAAATATTTTCCTGGCTACAAAGTCAAAAATATCTCCTTTAAAGAATATCCACAAGGAATAAATCATTGTTACAAAACTGTACAACTAGTATATCCTATTCTTCATCACTCCGTGAGATAAGTAGTACTGTTGTTTTCATTGAAACAATAAGGATTAATTAGGTAGACAAAGACAAATATTAGTTAGTCTAAATGGAAAGCCTTTCTGAGGGCATAGTGGGTACCTGAACAAGTTACGGTGGTAAAAACAGTGCATTTAAATGTTCACCTACAAAGCTAGTAGCTGTGTTCCTTAACAACTACAGATATGTATTTAATCATGTTGGTCATTTTATTTTAACATCTTTTGGTATACTTATTAATTCTGTTGGTAGTAAGTTTCATTTATGTATTCAGATTATTTTATAAGCTAGTGTTCATTATGAATACGATTTAGATATCTTAAAATTTAGATGCAGAAATTTGTACAGAAACATGCTAAATAAAAAATTGCCTTTTGGGACCAGTAGATGGCATAATGATTATGTCACTGGGCTCTCATGTAGTTGACCGTGGTTCAAATCCCAGACCTGGCGGCTTAAAACTCACTCCAAGTACGTGTGTGTGCATGCCCAAAATCCCAAGAGGAGAATGGAGAAGGAATTACGGCACGGCCATTCCCCCTGAAGGGTGATTTCTCCCTCTCTGTCTCTGTCTCTCCAATGAGTGCATGTGCCCTATAGCAAAAACCACCACTCTGCAACAATAAAATTGCCTTTCAAGAATACAGTTACCTCTCATTAAGATGGTAACTGAGAGAAAAATTTGCTTTTATGGCAAAAATGACATGGCAGCTATCACAAGAATTACTCAGGACAATGTCTCCCCCTCAACTATAGGCATCAAATGGTAGGATGCGATAAAATCGTCTAGGGTAGAAACTAAGCGTTACTAGTTATCCCCCCCCCACAGGGTACATGCGCTTGCCCAGAGACAGTGAGAGAGAAAGTGAAAAATTACCTCTCAAGAAGATGGCTGCACCGCTACCCCTTCTCTTCCTGGGACTTCGGGCCATGCACGTACATGTATCACATGTGATTTTCAAGCTGATTAAGTCTGGGACTTGGACCATGGTTGACCATGTGAGAATCCAGGACCTTAACCATCTTGCCACCTGTTGGCCTTTTTTTTTTTTTTTCAGTTTTCCTATGGGAGATGTACCCTCACCAGAGAGATACAGAGAGAGGAGGAGAGAGAGAGGGAAAAAAATCACCCGTCATTGGGGGAATGGCCACACCACACTCCCTTCTCCTCCAGTCACCTCCTCCTTGTGCACTCACAAGTACCCAGTGTCATTTCCAAGCTGCTGGGTCTGGGACTCAAACCACACAGGTGGCCATGTGGGATCCAGAGCTTTACCATCTATGCCACCTGCTGACCCCTAATTGTTACTAATTTTAAATCATATGCTTAATACATGACTTAAATAAAAGCATTGGAAACAAGGCATGATTTGTGAAACATATGGACCCATACAAAAGAGACTATCTATATTACAATTTCTATCTTTTAAAAATCAAAATTGTAAAGCTTAGTACTGATATAAGGAAATGTTGGGGCCAGCAGTGGTTAAGGTGCTGGACTCCCACATGGCTATTCAGGATATATGCAGTTTGAGTCTTAGACCCAAACACCTTAAAAAATGTATCAGGTAAGTGTGTGTGTGCATGCCCAAAATCCTCAAAGGAGAATGGAGAAGGGATTGTGGTGTGGCCATTGCCCCTGGGGGGGTGGAGGGGGTGATTTCTCACTTTTCCTTTCTCTGTATTTTCGTGTGTGTCTCTCTCTAGCAAGCGCACACACTCTGTGTCAAAAAAAAAAAAAAAAGGAAGTGTTTAGGTCAGACCATATAGCATAAGAAACTTTAGTGTCTTATTTCTGCTATCTAAGGCCTATTTTGTAGAATTACCCTTTCCTTAAATGCTTTATTTATTTATTTATTTATAGAGTTTTTTTGCTATAGGGTGTGTGTGCTTGCCAGAAAGACAGAGAGACAGAAAGCAAGAAATCACCTCCCCCCAGGGGGGATGGCCACACCACAATCCCTTCTCTCTGGATCTCGGACATGCATGCACATGTGCCCAGCGTGAATTTAAGCCGCTGGGTCTGGGACTTGAACCATGGTTGACTACATAGGAATCCAGTGACGTAGCCATTATGCCATCTGCTGGTCCCAAATGCTTCTTTCTTAATTTGAAGGGGGAAAACAATCCACCAATATCAAGAGGCTATCAATTGTTACAGTCAGAAAAAACTACTGTCTTCATTAACCATGTTATACACCCATAACTACCCAAACATTTTTATTTCAACAAATTCTGTTTGGCTATGCTATTTCTTTATTATTATTATTATTATTATTATTTATACATTTAATTGCCAATTATTAGAAGGATTAAGCAGAAGAGATACACCATCAGTACAGATTTGTAAATTATGTCATCATAAGACTTAAGATATTTAAAATCCAAAAAACAGATTTAAAAAATTAAAAATAAAATAAAATTTAAAAAGGGTTAAAAAAAGGCAAGAAGGAAGAAAGAAAAAATATTGAGGCCAACAGGTGATATGGAGGTCAAGGCCCATATAGTCAACTTCATGGTTTGAATCCTAGACCTAGCAGTTTAAAAATCATGCTAGAATGTGTGCGTGCATGCCCAAAATCCCTGCAGGAGAACAGAGAAGAAGGGATTGTGGTGTGTCCAATGTCCCTGGGGAGTGATTTTTCACCCTGCCCCCGAGAGTACACATATCCCATAACAAATTAATAAGAAGAAGAAGAAAAAAAGAAGGAAAGAAAAGGAAGAAGTAGACAAAAAGTTATAAGGGATATATTTTTGGAAAGAAGAGTTAAAATAAAAAAAATTTTAAGAATTATTGATTTAATTTTATGTATTTATTTGTTTATTTTAATTTGACCAGACAGAGAGAAAGTTATATCCTGAAATATAATTTAGTTTGACTTAGATAATAAAGAATTCAAAGGCAACATTTAACTTGCTGCTAAATCTTGTCACACTGACTTTCAAAAGCATCTAACCTTACAAATCATTTATAAAATGTGCAAAGTGTTACATATTCATCATTTGGTAGTCTACACAAACCACACAAAATGTCTTTCCAGAGGGAAAGGTCTGGGACTTGAACTGTGGTCGGCCATGTGGGAGTGCCCAGAACCTTAACCATCACGCCTCCCGCTGGCTCCAAGAAAAGACAATGAAGGTAAATTTATGAAAAATATTTTATATGTGATCAAGATGGTTAAAATTTGATTTGAGGATTTTTTTGAGTCCTTAGAGAGCCTCAATGAATGCATCTCTCATTTTGCAGAGATATAAACTGATCAGGTTTATCACACATATTAATTTATCATGGAATTATTGTCAGTTACTAAAGTAATGATAAATCTCCTTTAAGGTTATATTTACATAGATATGTTATTGATAGAACATTCTTAAGATTATGTAAAATTAATAAATGTCTGATAGTCCGGATGTGAAACTGTCCGTCATAAATTCTGGTTGTTATCTTCAAATGCCATAGGAAGAAGTAACGGGGTTGTCCCCTAGCCTGGTGATTGTCTACGCAGTTCGATTCCTGGCTCTGGTAGGTGAAAACCTACTGTGTGTGTGTGCCCATTCCCCAAATCCTGATGGGATGGAGACAAAGAGAAAGAAGATTGTAGTGCGATCATGCCCATTGGCGAGAGCTTTCACTCTCTCTTTCTTTTGGTGAACTTAGGAACTACCTGGCAATTTTTTTAAAAGAAAAGAATAAGCCTAAATAGAAAGAACTAACTTGTCAATTACGTCATTATGAACTGTCATCGAATAATAATGGCTATTATAAACTTTTGTCATAATTTCAAAATTAGCATGCTTTGCAACATTATAATACAAATAAAAATATAGTTCTATAAGAATGCTTTCTCGCGACCAGCAGTTAGTGTAATGGCAATGTCACTGGACTCCCATGCAGTCGACTGTGGTTTGAGTCCTGGACCCGGTGACTTAAACTCACACTGGGTGCGTGTGTATGTGTGCCCAAGATCCTCGGAGGTGAATGGAAGAGAAAGGATTGCAGTGTGGCCATCCCCGCTGGGGGATGATTTCTCGCTTTCTGTCTATTTTTCTCTGTCTTTCTGGTGAGTGCATACATTCCATAGCAAAAAACCTATCCAAAAAAATGCTTCCTCACGTTGAGGAAATTTTCAATTTTCTTTTGGAACCAGAAGTCAAAAGCTTCACACGAGGTCGTGGAACCTGCACTTTGCCAACATTCCCAACTGCCATCTTCACGTTATACGACAATTTACCTTCCGTGGATTCCCCAAACCCATGCTTTTTTTATC